AAGATGATAAATATTGTCTTAAACTTTCATGGTCACCAACATTCATAGATATAAGATGTAGAGATAGACAGAGTACCCATCACAAGGGTTGCAAAAAATTTAATTGTGCATGTGCGCGTATCTGTGTTTAATTGTGAATTTGTGACTGACTGTGTCGTTTTGTGGAGATATGTTTAAAACACAGGATAACATAACACCAACTGAATTGTATAGGTACAATTGTTTTCTTAGTTTCACGGAATTTCCTAATAAACTTTATCACGTTACGGCTTGACAGGACGATGTTGGCACTTACTTTATCGGACCAAAGGTACATCATGTTGCCTCTCTTTCTACCTTGTAGGATTGTCGGGAGGGATGATATCTCTTTTCCTCACCCTGTCAGTCTTGAAATACTAAGTCTATCCTAATTTTTTTTACGAGTCTCCGATATTTCGGCACTGTTGTAAGAGTCTTGATCACGGATTAACTGAAGTAATTGCGGGTAGATGTCATTGGCAGACATATTGATTTACGTCTTCCTTTTATCGATAACTTGTGATTCTAAGAAACCAGAAGCCTTCAAAAATGCCAAAAATAAACAAATTTTTACCATCACTAAAGACGTCTAGTGTGACGATTCAATAAGCTTTTACAAAAATGCAACACATACAGGCATAGTATAACTACTTATTATTCTATTGGTAAAATTTCTTTTACATATATCTTAATTTTCTAGAGGGAAATTGTTGAGAGCCTAACCTCGAATTAAGCAATTTTTATATGCAATTTTCAGCGTTAGCTACTGTTATCCCTATCGCACGGTGTTTACCAATGTGTGACGGTAATAGTTTTTTTAAATACATTTTCTCAAATGTCTCGCAGCTCGCGTCCGCTCTTAAAGCGCGTCAACTTTGGGAGTGGGGGGCTCGTGACGTCATTTTAAGCAAAAATTGTACCAAATCATGACGTTATGCGACATTTCAGTATATCTCTGTAATTTTTGATTATTGTCCAACATTGTAAAAAAACGGTTCACAAAGACAAAAAAATTTTTTACTTTTGACTTGATATTTGCTTTGGTGGCACGCAATATGTGTACCGCGCACTCCATCTGATTTTAGTTCTTTAATGGTTTATTGGTTATTTCAATCGATTTCCTGATAAATCTTGGTATGTAGTGGCATTCCTTCGAGACAATTTGTGGATTATGGAGCTCAATCCAGTGGTTAGGACTCGAATCAATTGCTTGATTGTTTTATAATAATATGGGATGGTATGTTAGGCTTAATTTTGAATATTTAATATTTTTTACCTATAACAAATATTCCATCTCTTCATCAATTAGTTTTTAGGGTTCCGTAACTCAAAAGGAAAAAACGGAACAATTATAGGATCACTTTGTTGTCCGTCCGTCCGTCCGTCTGTCAAGACCGTTTTTCTCAGGAACGCATTGAGGTATCAAACTGAAATTCATGACTAATACTCAGGTCTACTGTCCCTTGGAGCTGTGAAAAAATCAAACTTCTAAGCCAAATCAATCAAAAGATGCATCTGTTTATGTCGCAAATTTTCGAAACTCGCACGGGAATCAAAACCTGCAGGGTACTTCACGTGAACTTAGAATCTTGAAATTTAGTATGAAGTAACGTCATATAGTACAGATAAAGGAAAAATTGCGAAAACCGTAAATTTTTAGTAACATCATATAATAAAAAATATTTGTGAAAATTCCGGTTTGTACGGAACCCGAGCGAGTCCGTCTCGAACTTGGCCGGTTTTTTTATGACGGCGTCTCGCTTTTTCTATATACCTTGAAATTTTATTTAATTTGTTTAAGAGCATTAAGTAGGTAATAAAAATATTTTCAGAGGTCAGCTTTTCCGAATCCTAATCTATTTAAAAACATGAAAAATGAATCTTCAAGGAAAATTTATAAGTTCAGAAGCTAATGCAAAGCTGTTACTATTCCATTAATGAAACAATACCGGAGTGTTATTGTCAAATTTTTTTTTACAAGAATTGAAAACAATTTGGCTTATTTCTTGATAGACGACTTATTTCCGAACTTTGAACATTTTAACAATTGTTCTTTTATACACTTTCCTGTGAATTTAGTACAATGGGATTGTGCGAAAATGGATTTTGATTGTTGAAACAGAATTGAAAAGCCATACAGCTAAAAGTTTTGTTGTTAATAGAAAAAAAACGGTCAATTGCGTGGTGGGCCATGCGCAATCTAGTAGTAATTAATTACACATTGTACGTAATATACTGAGATGTTCAAAAAGAAAAAGAAACGTCACCTTATTTTTTTAAACTATCCATACTATCATAATTTTGGATATAATTTGACTTCTTCAAAGTCTTTTCTACATCGCAATATGGGCGATATTTGATCAATACTATATACCTTCTGTCATGGCATTGGCTGTATTAAGTATACTAGTCCGAAGACGTTACGGCAAAAACTCCAAGACGACCGCCATTACATGTTTTCCGAGTGAGTTGTTCACACGGGTAATGAGGCCTGCTCATATAGATATGTGTTTGTATAGATATACAACTTTACATGTCCTCATGATTATTGCCAGATTCTGTGTTATGGCAAAAGGAACCAAGATAAATGCAGATGCGATGAAAAAAACAAGGTAATGGAATTGGGAGATTGGGCCATGACCAACCACGCAGGCCCAGTACGGATTGGTGACTGCTGATGCAGCCGGGACCAACGGCTGAACTTGCTTTCCGAAGCACGGAGGAGCGATGTAATAAGTTTCCAGTCACCCATCCAATGACTGACCATTCGAATGTGTAACTTCCACGATCGCAGGCCGAAGGCGCTAACTACCTGCGCCATCGACTAGCTCTAGACTAGAACAGATGCAAGATATTTGTTAGGTAATGTTTAAAATATTTTTAATACATTCAGGTAAGTATATGTATTATAGTTTTTTGCATATATATTACTTTATTATTGCATGTATTAATGAAAATATTTTTTTCCCGACATGTTTTCAATTTGCTTCAATTACATCATTAGCTACACCGTACACGAATCATGAGATATATTTAGCTAAAAGCAGACGTATTGTGACTGTTTTATATTTAAGTATGAGTGTTTGCTACGTGATGGGAATTAACTGTCGTTTTTGGTGTGACGCCAACCTCTGAATGCCTCTGTAAACAGAGACCCGTATGCTCCTTAATATGTCGGTGTGTTTGGTTTGTGGACAGTTTTGTGGAACGTTTTGCTTAATGCAAAACCAATATACATAGGTATATCGGATATCATTTCATTATATATAATTTTCAAGTATGTGCTGATCCCAATGTTCTACGCTCCCCTTTGTCCATTAGCAAATGAATGATTATGTCAAAATGTAGGAATCGAATATTGAGCAAATAAGCTAGAATACTTTAGAGGGAAATGTTAAGTGTAAGATCACGCGACACATTTGCCAATCATTCTTCATTCGTAGTAACATGAACACTCGTCCCGGAGTCAATACACCAATCGCTTTTGCAAAATTCACCATTCAGGAACACAGCGCTAAACGCATTACTGCTTGTACTTTCATTTTTATTTGTATTCAACGAATTTTTGTTTGAAAATGTACACTGGTTGCGGTAATGTCCTGTTTGTTTACATTTGCAAGATGCTATGACTTTTGGTTTTGACTTTGACATCTGGGCGTTGTCTTTGGTCGCAGTGTTACCAACATTCCGGTTCTTCTTAAAACTCGCAAACGCGCCACTTGCACTCGAGCTGGCAGCGCTATTGTCGCCGCCATTTCCGCTTTCTTCCATGTCCAACAACTTGATTTTAATGTCGTCCGCTGTCAATGGTATTCAGCAATGCTCGATCGCCATTATCATTGGGGAATATTTTTCTCTTAATCCCGCTAGCAAAAGCGATGCATCCTACTCATCATTGATGTTGAATCACGTACCACTAATTTTTTGGCTTGTTTCGATGATTTGTGTCACGTATAAAGTCATTGAAACGCTATTTTTAAGTCTGATGGAAATCAAACTACTCAGTAAACTAATTTTCTCATGAATCCTGAGTCATGAAATAGGTTCTTCAATTTCTTCCACAGCTCATGGGTCGTTTGTACACTTTTGATGTGCACATACAGTGACCAATCTATTGTTACAATCAGCTTGGCTCTGGTTTTCACGTAACCTGCTGCTCCTATTTCTGTTGATACAGTCTCCAATTTCATGCAATCATTACATTCCCTCTAGCACTAGGAAATTCTCAGCCATGAAAGCCCATTTGCTGTAGTTCTCTTGCCCTTATAATTTAGGCACACTGATTATGTATATTGTCGTTATTTTCACAGTCACAGCGGTAATTACAGTTTATTTCAATCTGCAAAGTCTATTACCAATAGTAATGCCCAAGAAAATATTGTGAGAAAACTGAAAATCACTGGGCACATAACCTCCAATAAATTAAACGTTTGAGTCACAGTCAAGAATTATACTTTTTATTTTTAATATATACAGTATTACATTCTTTAAGTTAGAGGGTGCTACTAGTTTATAATCTATTACATTGACTATACAAAACAGCAAATAATTAGGTACACATTATATTTTTCCACGAACATATTATAGTTAGCAAAATCCATCCTATGCGTTTTTTATCGGTCCGACAAACGTAAGACCAACCGTTCATGAATAGTTAAAAAGTGAGATTCACTTAGGAACCATGCACATTACAATGCGGGCACCAACATTAAAAATAATGGAACTAAATACACCTTAGCCTTCTCAAAGAAAATATTAACGCGAAAATGATAACAATAGTACGGAGAATAACTCGGTTGGCATTTTGTATTGTATTCAAAAGAACTGTATACAGCAAGTAGATTCCTTTTTCAGATAACGTAAATTTCGCAGCAGTTGATGTCAAAATAAGAACCAGTTAGTTCTTCGGGTGTCTGTGTGAACTTAGGTTTATGAAGCAAAGGCATGCGCGTTGTAGCTTTACGGAGCAGTAGAGCTTCAGTGGCGATAGGACCGCGTGGAGTCCGACCGCCATCGAACCTCCCCGCGGCGGTAACCTCGTTCGTACTTACGTAAGACGATAAAAAAAAGAAATATGTAAAAAAAAATAACTGATATACAGACTTATTGAAAGTGTTCTATATCGATAAAGGAAAAAAATAAATCATGCATATTCGCGCGGTTTCGACCTTCTGTGAGTGAACACACATGATCAGTGTTGTTTGTTATTATTATTTGGAGTTGAAAGTATAGTATTTGGAAGATTTGTGTGGTTTGCACCAGTAGGTAAGTAATCATGAGCAATTTAAGGCACACATTACAATGCAATCGTTTTCCGATACGCGTGAACACGTTCCGGGTGATGTAAACAAGCCGATAGATTCAATAAATAGCTTTATTTCACGGGATGGGGTAGCGTATAGTGAAATTGATGGGACTTTTTTCTCTCTTAGGTTAAAAGGAAAGTTCGCTGTAAATTGAAATTGGAGCTTCGCCGGCAACAGTTAGAAATAAAGGTTTAGCTGTTACGATGATTCCTTTAAAATCGCGTTTCATTAATGAATTAAATAAAACCTATTCGACGAAATTCTTTTGATATTGAACGTTATGAACGATACTAAAATTGTAATGTTGTATTCAAGATGATTTTACTTGCAACAAAATACTTTGAAAAACCTTGATCAAAATAAAAGGTACGACTCAGTTACAGTAACTGTCATGAAAACACTTTTTAAGTTTCATAAAATTAATTCTCGTCGAGAATTATGAACAAAGCATTATTATTACATTATTTTGATCATACTTTTAAACCTTTCATAAAGAAGTGTTCAATACACGATAATTTTATTAAATTTGATCCTTTATGTAAATATGGAGGTGAATACGCATACTGATGGTACTGATGGTGGTAGCCACCACATTCTAAAGACGCTCGATATACTGTTCAGCGCATTGCCTCACCCAAACACTTCCCTAACCACGTGGAGCTCTAGAACCTTTTTCATGTTAAAAGGGGAGCAAACTAGCATATGGCCCGCCTGGATGGTAAGTGGTCAAAGTAGCCTTTATAGACGCTTGTGATACAAAAAAATATCACTCGCGCCCTTGCTTACCCTGACTTCATCCCTACTCCGTAGAGCCTTGGAACCTTGCTCACCGACAGAAACACAACACTACCAAATAATAGTGTTATTTTACTGCGATTCTCTGTAAAGTTACTTTCTTTCTTACTTCCCCAGACGGGCGCTCTAATTCGAGCGGGAAATCCGCTATGCGCAACCTCTTTAGTTGGAATCATTAGCAAACTCACTGTCAATCATAGATCATCATGAACACACCACGTGGAGTCCTAGAAACTTTACTGACTCTACGTATACAGAACGAAAGAACTGTTTTTTGTTGCAGCTTTCGGTAAGGTGGAGTTAGTTTCCCCCAAACGGACGCTAATTATCGCAACCCGTTCTGAAATCCACTGTAGGGACTATACATCAACGAACGTCAGTCTATTTCTCAATACATTAGACAATGATTTCATAAAGACAATGTTTTCATTAGGCATCTCGATTCACTTTGAAAATATCGATCTCTAACTAGATTCAAATCGACATACTTAAATCGATTTTAATTTCAAATAACCATTTTTAAATATGCTCTATATAAACACAGATTTTTATTGATATAAAACCTACCGCAAATACAAGCAGTTCGATAGAAAATTACAAAAAATAAGAATTATCGTTAAGTTATTTAACACTATCTGACCCGGCGAACATCGTACCGCTTACAATAATTTTGAAGATGTGAAAGCTATCCGTTCGGCAGGAACACAGCTTTTATCATAGTTAGCAATGGTTTGGAGGAATCTTCTGTAGATTGATCGTTCAGTAATGTAAATCTCATATTTACTACCTGATGAAAATACATTAAATGGCGCTACAAATTGATTATGGCGTGGCGTGGGGTGGGGTGGAGTCGCGTTTCATAAACTGTTTCGGCCTTAATAGAGGTAAGCCTCAACTTCACTAAAAGATGGCTCAACTTTTAACTCGAAAAGCAAGCCTTTCTCAATCCTAGGTACTGCACCTATTTTAATGGGTACGTATGAAAAACACTATAAAGTACCAAAGGATATTGGTGTTTCGTTATCCAGGCCGGATATATTCCTCTTTTTCTAGGCCCATCAAACATATAGTACTAACCCATTAACCGCCAAAATTAAAACAGGAAAGTTATTTATGTTAAATGTTTATGTAACTATTGTTTATATATCAAATAAAGAATTAATTATAAAAAAATATTTAAATTGTTACTAGGCCCCCTTTGGAGGGGGTGTACTCAATTAAGTACAGCGGCGTATTACCGTTGAAATTTTTCAAAGCATTGTTTTCTACACATAATGTTTTAAACACTTTTTGCATTGCCAACGTACTCTTCAATGACATATTACACATCGTAATGGTTTTTCAAGCTTTTGAGGATAGTGTCCTTCACCATCTTGAGGCAATCCTGGAACTGAAGAAGATGAAGGTCGAGCCTTATATTGTGTTTTTCGACGTAAATAATATCTTGCAATGACACGTCGAAACATAAGCTGATCCATGGTATCACTGTGACTCATAACATGTAAATGCGAGGAATTAGTAATAGCCATATCTATCATATAGGTAAACAAAACCCAGCACTACTTCTTTCCATTAATTGCTATCCTATATAGAGCCAGCCCATCTTATATAGAGATATGGACTGATCTAACTCACCCACGCTACCCATGTTTTTATTATATGTTTGAAACAATTTTTGTATATTGACATCAGTATTTTCACATTGCACAGGACACTATCGTTTTTCAACTCCCAAGGTTTCAATGGAGTCATAATTAGTTGCCATTGTATAAATTCTATTGTCTTTCCATCGCACTAATAAAACCTCATTTTGCTTATCAAACCTGTAATCATATGAGGCACGATCTTCTTTCTTTATCTGTTTAGTACTTCTCAGTGGACACTTCTTTGTCCTATTTTCCCTTATTCCAGTAGCACGATATCCTAAGTTTTTGAGCTCCAATAAGAGATTATAATTTGTAAAGTTAAAAAACACTTGATGACATGTTGGATCAGTGCTCAATTTTACAAGTAAAGTTTTGACTACTATGGGCAGTACCCCGTAGAATAGCCGAACCGTGCTGGCTTACCTGTAATAAATTGTTTAGCTGGATGATGGCCGAAATATTTAATTATTTGGGACTACTCTTTACTTTGTCGGAAAATGGTTCGTCATCACTGCTGTCGCCATTGTCACTTTGAATGGTATTATCAACAGACCTAAACACTTCTATATTACCAGGCACATCTCGCGGCAAGGAAGCAGAAACCATGTCTTCGTCAACACCTACTTCCTCATCTGTGAAAACGCTGGGTTCTGGCGGTATTACAGCAAATTCGTATTCATCATTACTGTCACTTTGCTCTAAAATAGCATGAATTGCTTCCTCTAAGTCGCTATAATTGATTGAAACGTCAAACCGTTTGGAACTCATTATTACTAAAACCAGAAACAAAAAAAAAGATGTGTGTTCGTTACATGGATTTAGCCGCTGTACTCAATCAGGTACAGTACTGTTTAAAGCACAATATCTATGCAAATATATAATAGAGAGTAGTGGTTTATTAGTTAATTTATACATAAATATATGTACTACAAAAATTATAAACACAAAATATTTTTTTGCATATGCTAACCCTTGATAATAATAATATGATGTACTTACTTTTATACACAATTAAACTGCTATGTTACAATCCTCAAAATAACATATTTTAAAAAGATATCCACTTAAACTGTTGTTATTTCGAAGCACTATTTCTATCTCTTACTATAGCAAACGGTAACTACAATTATTACTAAAAAGCCTCATAACTACCCTCAATTGTTTTACTGTACCCAATCACGTACAGAGGCGCCAAATGGGCTAATATAGCTTACTGTACCGTGGGAAAGTAACATCCTAAAAGACCACACAATAAAATTGTACGATTATAACGATCTAACCAAAAAGGGCTATCTAGATAATGTATATGCGGTATAAGTAGGAACGAGAGGTATACCAGCAAAATCTTTGTATAACCTTCTAAAAGACCTCGGCCTGTCGGGAACTGCAGTAAGTTCAATTTCGGAACGAGTAACTAAGGCTGCACAAACAGGCTCCTATCAAATTTGGCTAAGAAGGGCGGGCAACTCGAGCAGTGAAGGTGAGCGTTGATGCGCATCTCAAAGGGGGCCTCCTTAAACCTACAACTAGGTCGCAAGTCCCGGGAACTGCTCAGAGTTTCTCTCTCCCACATGATGGACCTGGGACCTGCACGGTGAATCCATCGATTGAAAAGAAGTTCGTATCTCACTGTGTCACCGTATCGCACCTTTTATGCTCTGTCAACTCCACAATGGTTCCTACTAATATTAAAAACTGGCGGCCGTCCGCGACTTCGTACGCGTGGAGTTAGTTATTTGCACATATCTTTTGACTCCAAAAGGGGGTTTATTTCTAAAGATACATTATTAGTACACCTCTACACCATCTATAGAGGATACATGTTAAATTTCAAGTCTCTTACTTCAAAAACATAGAACTTTCATACAAACTTCCAACCCCCGTATTACCCCCTTTGGGGTGGAGTTTCGTTATAATATGTAGCCTATATGTTGACACGACTTCTTAGTATATCCTCGACATACAAACAGACAAAAATTCTAAAAACTATATTTTTGGCTTCGGTATCGATTGTAGATCACACCCCAAGTATTCTTTCAAAAAAATATTCAATGTATAGTTTTGACTTTCCCACCATTTTATTATATGTATAGATTTTCAATTACAACTTTTAATTACGCAATCACGGAAACACAATAAACGGATTTGGATGAAATTAATACACTGAATAGTCTATTGAATATATAGTCTCAGTTTCGGTTTAGGTAATTCACTAAATAGAAACCTATACCGAAATTGAGGCATATTGGGCATAGGTGGTAATGTAGCATATATTATTTTTTTGGACATAGTTAACTTCTATTGGTCTAACTATGGGTTTATTGGTAGGTAGAATGGTAGTAGAGTGGAAATCTACCACTGCTCTGTCATTGGATGAGATAACCAACAGTATTTTTTTAATTGTACTTTTTCCGTAGGTAATTGTTAGTGAAGTAGGCGAGGCAAAACACAAAAAAAATTGGATGTTTTGTTTCAATTCCTGACATATTTACTAATTAACACAAAATTTGGTAACAGT